GAAATGCAAGGGTAAAGGCGTGTGTGTGTGTGTGTGTGTGTCTGCACCCGCCTGCCTCCACGCCAGACCCGACCAGGGGAGATTGATGATAATTCATGTGGGGGTTTTGTTTGTTTTTCCAGCCAGCCTAGCGATTGGCACTTTTTTCTGTTTCGCCGTTGGTTCGTCGTTCGCCCGTGGAATAGTCTCTTTTTGTCTATTCTCACATTCCATTCGGGAGTGTAAATTTCTTTACAATTGGGGTACATAGGTAGCTGTTTTGCGTTGCGCAGGCACCACCCCCTCGTGGTCGTTGCGAAGGGCGAGGGTAGAGGCCGTGCTTGCTGGGGTGTGGGTGGGCTGGAGCACTCCCCCCTTGCCCTGGGTCTCTTCTTGATTTTGTTTCGCATGAATGATGGTACGGCGCACGCAACAGGGGGGGGGGGGTATCGGGGGGAAGAAAGTCCCCCCCTTCGACAGAACAGCCTCAGGGACAGGAGGTCTCAACGAAGTGTGTCCCCAAGGGTACGTGCTGCTTCTGCTGCTGCACTGCCCGCAGTTAAAAGACGACGCGATGAGGTCTGTCTCTGATCGGGCCCGGGGGAGGGCTCCAAAACTTGTGTAGACTGCATTTGCCCACATGAATCATGTCAGGGGATGTTGGGGGGGGGGAGGGGGGGGGTCTCCATGACTGAACCGATCCGAAACGGTCGTAGTACCCAAAACACCAAACATGTGTAGGTGAAATGATGTGGGATGTCTGTTGTCTTGAGCTATCACTCACGTACGTACGGTTGATCGTTTGTAAGCAAGGGGAGAGGGACGGGAGAGTTTTGGCAGCCTAAACCCTCCCACCCTCTCCACTAGTGTCGCGGTTTGTTGTTAAGTCAGGTTCGATTGCATTCTTGTTCAGCATCGTTTCACGCCACGGGTCCCTCTCCCCCCCCCCCCCCCCCCCCCCCCCCCCCCCCCCCCNTAATTGGTTGAGAGTGATTTACTTTTATTCTTCTATTTGAATTTCGCGGCGGGCGGCACGGTGTGACAATGCCGACGTGCCTGCCCGCTGCCCCGCTCGCGTGCCACTCCATGCCAAGCGCTGTCTCGTATTGTTTGTCGGTTTTGCGGCGAGATGATCATGCACGCTTTTTGCGCGTGCATATATTATGAGCACAATATCATAGTACCGAATATCATAGCACCGGTGTCTGCTTTTCGACTTGATCATTAAGGCGGGTATGGTTGTGTCTTGTGTGTTTTTTTTTTTCTGTTTGGATGTGTGTCTAGGACTGTTCATTTCTTGGGAGGGAG